CTTCTGAAGCAGCTGTCTATATAACCACATCCTGTACTTGCTCAAAATCAAGTGCCAGGAAAATCGTATTAGACCAATCCAATATTAGAGCTCTACAGATTTCAGGTGAGGGGTACTACCACAGATGTTCTCTTGGAATAGGCAATTTGGAAAGAAATGCATTATTAGCTGTTCACAACACGGCTTGACGTGCTAGTGTCCAAATCTCAGGAGAATCAGCCCTACAGAACATTTAGCAAAGTATTTAAAATTCCAGAAAGTCTAATACTTAATGAAATTTTTTTTTTTTTTTTTGTAGGCTGGAAACCAAAATGAGCTATTACACAGTTACAATAAAATATATCAAGTTATTCTATTTGTAATAAACACCTAGTTTTATTATTAGTGGAAGAAAGTACTAGCAATTAACCAAAGAAACATTAAGATGGTAGAAAGAAGTTCATTAAAAAGTAACTTATATTGGTCTGATTTAAACTTAATGTCAACTAAGACTACTATGGTAAGAAGTGACTTTCTAAGTCAAAATGAACCAAAATGAACTTATTTGGTTATACAGTTTCCATCTTTCCATCTTCTTTATCACTATGGTATAATTTATCATTAGTTGCGTCTGGCTTACTTTAGAGGTCAGTTGTCTGGAACTTACTTCCTTTTATGCTGTCTCAAAAACAAAGATTTCCTAAAACAGTATTAGAAAGCTCTTACTTGAGATGGTTGCAAAGATTAACCTTAATTTTGGCCAGGGTTTAATCCTGTCTGAATTTGGCTCAATTATAGGACAACAGCTGTGTTTATAAGATCAAAGTTTTATGTTTAACCACCATTAGAAGCACAGATACCAGCAGCATTTATTGTCTTTTACTTCATAGAAACAGAAACTCAACTCATTACAGCATTATAAATGAAGTTGGTAGAAATGAATATTTCATAAATCTTTAAGTCAAATTGTTTGTAAAGGCTGAGAAACCCGGTGGTCTCCCCATTACTTACTATTGTTCATGTGGATTTTATAAGCTTACATTGTGTTACAAGTCCCAAGGTAGAGTATCCTGTTAGAAATTAGTTTAAAAGGCAAATAGCTGTATAACAAAGACATAAGTTACACAGAAATAAGCTGATCCAAGGAAATTTTCAGACAAACATCACTTGACCCTACATAAGGACAATTTTTTTTTATTAAAGTAGTTCAAAGAACAGATGAAAATGTCAGAAAGTAGATTAAATGCTTTTGATTTTCCATGAAATCTGTGCCCAATGCATGCAAAAGGAAGTGCTTATGAGTTTGAGTAATGGATATATCATAACGTGTGTTTTTTAGCTTTTGTGAAATGAGATCTTCAAAGCTGCTACACTAATTATTTTGTTGTGTTACTGTGATTAGGTAACAAATGGTTGCTATAAATTAAAATCATGTTAATAAAAAAATTCTACCTATATTTTAAAGGGCATTATTTCTTTAAATGTATAATTAGAAAAAAAATGTTAATTGTTTTGAAATTCTTTTCAAATGCCTGTTAAATGTTTTTGAATCAGCAAGGTGTTAAAATTAAAGAAGCAGAGTGTTCTCTCCTGTCCTTGTTGCTGAGCACAGTTTGATAAAGATATATCGGAACACAATGCTGCTTCTGAGGACTTGACCAAGCTCTCATGAGGAATATGCGGAAATGGATCATAATTATTATTTTTATTTGGCAAATTTTATTTAGGCTCAGAGCTAAGGCTATTATTACTTGTATGGTATAAAGTTGGGTTAAACTGAGTTTAACTTTTTGAGGTATAGGAAAACATGGAAAATAGTCTAGAGTGACTACTTTTTCTCTCCTAAAAACTATTAAAATCAGTCTTGGGCACAATACTGCCTCATAACGTCCCAATCAGCGTTTCTGGGACAATGTCAGATTTTAGACAATTACAGAAAACCAGGCACAAATGTGCAAACCAGATTTCAATTTCTTCTCCACTGACATGAGATTTAAAACAGCAACAGAAACATTTCTAGGTCAGTGTCAATATGTAGTCACAAATTACCAAAGTAAGAAACAAATTGGAGTGCATGGGTGTGTGATTTTGTGTTTTGGCATGGGAGAGATACTGAAATACTCACAACGTAGAAGCCAAATCATAAAAATGAAATGGGACTTATGATCCCATCATTCTGAAAATGTAGGATTTAGCTCTGACATCTTGCAGATTTGTGATATCCTGACTTTTGCTTCAATAGTCCTAAATAATACAAGTTTTAGAACATAAGTAAAACTTTTTTCACTTTGATGTTTTAAGTGAAGCAATCCTGAGGAAAACTTAAATTTCAACAGAAAAAAAACCCTCTTGGACATATTTATAAACAAACATGGAAAAACTAAAACTGGGACATACAATGTGAAATATCTCATGTTATCATCAGGAATTAGAAGTGATGATCAATAACTAATTCCTCATAAATACTTCCTCGTGTCTTAGTCTAATTTAAACATATTTCAAAGAACAAAGTTTACTAAGAAAAAAACCATTATACGATTTTAAAATAATTAAACACAATAAAATTTAACAACAAAGTATAAGTTGGAACATGGTCCTGTAGCCTACTATTAAGATCTAAAGAAAGAAAAAGAGGTTAGAGTTCTCAATGCTTACACAGGATAAAGTACATTTCATTTCTGAAACTAACAGGTAAAGGCAACCCTCTCATTTCTTGAGAATGTCTTATCTTACAGTCACTATATTAGTCCACAAATGGAATCACCATTGTCTTCTCTTTGAGGATAACATTTCCTGCCTCTTTTTGGCACAACAGTATACAATCATCATGAGTTATCTTTTTCCAACACAGATTCCCCTACTAAAAGACAGAAGTTCTATTGGGTATTTTTTTTTTTTTTTTTGAGATGGAGTCTCGCTCTGTCACCCAGGCTAGAGTGCAGTGGTGTGATCTTGGCTCACCACCACATCTGGCTCCAGGGTTCAAGCAATTCTCCTGCCTCAGCCTCCCAAGTAGCTGGGATCACAGGCATGCACCACCACGTCTGGCTAATTTTGTTTCTGTATTTTCAGTAGAGATTTCACCATGTTGGCCAGGCCGGTTTTGAACTTCTGACCTCAAGTGATCTGCCCGCCTTGGCCTCCCAAAGTGTTGGGATTACAGGCATGAGCCACCATGCCCAGCCCTACTGGGTAATTTTATCAGACAACTTTTATATTTGGTTAAACCCTTATTCCAGAGAATCCATTTCTTATACACCCAAGCCCAACATAATCATCTCCCTAATTTCCATCCCTAAATAAAACCCACCCACTTCACACATCAATTTTTCTAAGTATATGACAACAATTTTTGAATACACTGGCCTTAGAGGTGACTTTTTTATTTCTTGGACACATCCTGAAATGACAAATTCTTATAAGAGTCACTATTGATAGCCCTTTGGCTATCCTGATGCTTTTAGGAATCCTTGCCCCATCACAGAGACTCTTAAAGAGAACCATGTCAAAATTCCTTGCTCTTTGCTTTTTACTTTGTTAGTTCAAAATCTTATTATGAAGGGGTAAACAAAACCATTTATATCATTTGGTTATAATATTTAACATATTAAAAAATTGACTACGAAATTGCTATGAAATTTTTCATCTGTACTTTAAAGCATGTAAAAGTTGAACCCAAACATCTACATATTATAAAATTTCACTGAATTCTTTCTTTTAATTACCTGGAACATTCTCCTGTCTCTTAAAAATATCATGTTCTTGATTCTATAATTATTTTAAGACACCTTACGAATAGAAAACTGCAGTAAAAAATATTTACTGGCATTAAACATAAATCTCTAAAACCTCAAAAATAAGACCCACTCATCTCTGAATTAAATAATTTCTATACATCTCTGAACCATGTGACAGACACATACTAGGTACTTTCATTCACCTTTAATCTTCACAGCAACTCCACAAAACAATGATTTCTATGGGTACTTTACAAGAGGAAGTGAAGCTTCAAAGAGGGTATTAACTTGCAGGAATGGACAGTTTGTCAAAATGTATTGAATTCTGTATGTGACTGACAAGCAGAACCATAATTTTATATGCTTCTGACTGTACCATGATGTATCCCAAAAATGTGATACAGCTGTCTTAGATAATGTTGATTTTAATGATCTTTGAGAGGGTGAACATGGTTCCATTGCCAATAGGTCCCATCTCAAAAACACTTAAGTTTCTTGGTAAGAACAGTGAAGATTCATAAAAAGGAGGCTGTTAAAGGTATACACTAGAAGTCATTTTGATCCCATATACCACATGTTCTAAGAGTCTTAAAACACCTAGTCCAAAGGAATCTGCATATAATAAACAGGGTTAAGTAATATAATCAATTACGTATTTAAGAAACTGAAAACCATTTTTTACATTGAGTACACACACACACACACACATATATATATATATATACACACACACACACTCAACAACCACTTCTGGAGTACCCTAAGATATTTTTTTCTCCTTTGATTTTTATTTTCTTTTGAGATAGTCTTGCTCTATCGCCCAGGCTGCAGTGAAGTGGCACGATGTTGGCTCACCGTAACCTCTGCCTTCCAGGTTCAAGTGATTCTCCTGCCTCAGTCTTCCAAACCATGCTTGGCTAATTTTTTAATTTTTATTTTTTTAGTAGAGATAGGGTTTCACCATGTTGGCCAGGTTGGTCTTGAACTCCTGCCCTCAAGTGATCCACTCCCTTCAGCCTCCCAAAGAATTGGGATTACAAGTGTGAGCCATTGCACCTGGCCTTTTTTTCTTTTGATAAATGTGTCCCTGAGAATTAGAAAAATGGCATACACTCAAAGTACAGAAAATAGGTACACTTTAAATACTCCTTTTCTGATAAACTCAAAAGCATTATTTTTCCTTGGTCATCTCTTCTCTGGAGGTCAGTTGCTGAGTCAATATACGATTTTATAAGATTATTAAAAACAAAATATATATATATACACACACACAGAGTAGAAAAATAATTTTTCAAATCATTCACATTTTATTTAATAAAAGCAACTGAGACATTTTCTAAAGTATATGGTATATTTGATATAAAAATTCTTCAAAATATGTACTATAGAAATTCTTCAAAATATGTACTAAAAATACAAAGTTTATAAATCTAAGGTACAGAGAAAACTTTATACTTCAGTCACCCAAAACAACAGCTTGTGGTCTCCTCCAATTACACACAGAGGGAGAGTTCGATGCCAGGACAGGCCAGATCCAACGGCTACAGAACCCATGAGGATAGGCTATAAAATATGTGAAGAATTAAAGAAGCACAGTAAGTCCCAAAAATTAATAAATAAAAATGTCTTGCAAAAATACAAAATGCATTGATAATTTATCTTTGTAGCAGAAACAAAATTTAAAAATATGCCCCCTTACAGGTGAAATACACATTATTGATATGCAGCTGGAACATGGGATACAATCCATGTATGAATAACTGGCACAATCCAGACTCCATTTTTGCAGTCTACACCAACCAAACAAGCAAAATTAATGTATTTAAATAAAGAAGAAAATACAATGACAGAAGAAATAAAAAGCTTCTTACATGAATATTGGCCAAAAAAACCTGTTGTCACTGGTAATGCAAACATCAAAAAAAAAAAAAAAAAAAAAAAAAACACACACACACACACACAAAAAAAACAAAAACAAATGAACCACCTTTTCTTGCAATTTAAGCAGATAACAAACATAAATGTCTTTAGTTAACAAATTACAAATTTGGGGCTATGAGTGGAAAAGTCAAAAACACAAATTAAGAAAAGCACATATGTTACAAAACATTTCCACATTACCTGAGGGTGTCCTAAATGATGAATTTGAAACTGGCTTGCCATTTTGCCAGGATAACCAGTGGTTGCAAACAGATTTTCACTAATTGTAGACCACCTGTGAAACAAGGAAGCATAAAATTAAGTATTGTATCCTATAGATAACGACAAGCTTTTCCAAAGCGGGTTTTTTCTTTTTCTTTTTTTAAAGAGACAGGGTCTTGCTCTGTCACCCAGGCTGGAGTGCAAAAGTGCTAACAAAACTCACTGTAGCCTCAAATTCCTGGGCTCAAGTGATCTTCCCACCTCAGCCTCCCTAGCAGTTGGGACTACAGGTGTGTACCACGATGCCCAGGTAAGTTTTAATTTTTTTTTTTTTGGTAGAAATCGGGTCTTGCTATCTTGCCCAGGTAGATCTCAAAGTCCTGGCCTCAAGTGATCCTCCTGCCTTGGTCTCCTGAAGTGCTGGGATTATAGGTGTGAGCCATATCACCTAGCCAGAAACAGGTTTCTTTTTGTATAAAACCAGTGATTTTAATAATCCTAAATTTGTTAATATGTCTTTACAATTAGACTGGGAATTCAAGGAAAATATTCCATATTTTCTCATACTTTTAAGTATTTATGAAGTGCTTATTTTGTGTCATTTCATTAAGTTCCAAAGTTACCCAAGGTTAATACAATCCTTTTTTTCACAACCAAAGGGGTAACAGTGTGGTAGAAGACACAAATAAGGTATCAAATACGACAGCCATTCTGCCCATTTTCTATGCTAACTGAACCCCAACTTTGTTCAGGGCACAGTGTGTCCAACCCTAGGGGATTAGACATAATTAGTTTAAGGCAGTCATAGCAATCTCCCATAAAAGGAGAGGGTTCCTTCTTCTCCTCTTACTTTTTTTTGGCTTAATTCTTCGGCAAATGGAGTACATCTCTTATGCCTGGAACTCTCATAGCCATCTTGTGACTATGAAGCAACAGGTCCCAAATCCTTGCCATTGAGAATAGCAGAGGGAAAGGATGAAAAGGGTCTGAGCTCTTGATGACAGTGATGAGCTGCTAAACAAGCCCTGAGACTACCTCCTCTAGACTTATAAGTACCATAGCTCATTGATTTTAAAATTGATGTATACTCGCTCATTGGTGTATATTTGTTCACACTTCTCTGAAGTCAGGATATATCTTATGATCCATGGCATTCTTACATTTAGTCGAATGTATTTTATTCTCAACAATGGTATCTCTAAGTTCTACAACTTTATTGGGGATATTTTATATCCCCAATATATTGGAGTATAGCATATAATAAAATTTCACTAGTTTTAGTCTTTCATTTAGTTTTGCTGTTCCTTAAAAAGCAGAAATAATAGCTTAATGACCACACGATACAATGGAGTATTATGAAAAAGAACAAGGTAGACATGTATGTTAATTTAAGTGAAAAGCAAAAACACATCGCAGAGATATACTATCTAGCATGGTTTCATTTAACACACAATAATAAAGTTTATATACATGAATATGGGCTCCCCTACATTTACATCCTTAACAGCATAGAACAATCAGGAAGCATAATATATTCCAAATTGTTGGGGTGGTAGTGGTGGAGTGGTTACATGTTTTCCTGTGTAAAGAAAATATTTGGAAAACAAATCAACTCCTTGTCTAGACCAAAAGACACAATCGATGACTTAGTTGTAATCAGGGAAAAAAAAACTCAGTGCAAAGAAGAGAACTACAAAAGTATCCCAGTGGTGGCACAGCACAACATCAAAAGATCAAATCACAGTTCTGACAAAAATGGTACATTACCTGAATAAGCAGGCTCGATCCATGTGAACAGGTCTCTTATTTTGAGGATAACTAAAAGATAATATTTTGCATTTTATGAATTATGTGTTAGACTCAAGTGGGTGAACTTAAGGTTTAAACGGTATTTTCTCTTTATAGGACAGAATGTCCAATGTGTTTAAACTATAATAAATCCTAAACAAGCAATCAGTTAAAACAGATGAAATACAATAAAGACATGACAGAACCACTGCAGGGAACCATCATGCAACAGGGTTGGTGTTTTTCTTATTTTCCAATATAAGTAAACATTGCACAGATCCAAGATTTCCTCTTTTGCACTGTCCTTTCTGGGTTACTCCCAGAGTAAATCTGGATAGCAACTTTATGTTATATAAAAATCCATAGCTCTGGCCTTCTACAGGAGAGACTTGTTTTCTCTTGACAGTGTAGTCTCAGGTATAACAGGATGGACGAGTGGATCATTTAGCAACAGTTACTGCCTTTTTTTTTTTTTTCTATAATAGACAAACATATCAAGAAAGTACCTGGACCGAGTAATATCCCAAATTAACCAATCATTTCCTGCAACAGCTCCAACTTTGAAGGTGTTTTTTAAGCACCAGTGTGCTGACATTAATGGCACTTGTTCTGATTCAAGAGATAAAATAGCCTGTTGGGCCAAAAGATCATAAAATCGGATTGTTCCATTCTTCTCTGCAACCATTAGCTGTAAGACAGAAAAATAAAAAGAAACTCAATCACTTATCTCACTAACTATACCTGAAGTATCAGCAGAGATTCACTGTTGTACGGTAAAATGTAAACACTTGCAATATACAGGTTGAGCATTCCTCATCTGAAAATCTGCAATGCTCCAAAAACAAACTTTTTGAGTGCCAACATGATGCCACAAGTGAAAAATTCCACATATAAGCACTTAACACAAACTTTGTTTCATGTACAAAATTATTTTGAAAAGTTATATAAAATTATCTTCAGGTCATGTGTATAAGGTATACATGAAACATAAGTGAGTATCAAGACTTGGCTCCCATTCCCAAGATTTCTCATGTATATGCAAATATTACAAAATGCAAAAAATTCCAAAATATGAAACCCTTCTAGTTCCAAGAATGTCAGATAAGGATCCTCAACCTATATTACAGATGGCAGATCAAATATAAAGGAAGTAAGAGGCTATGTAAAAATCTCCAGAGAACATAAAAAACCTTAGATAAAACTGGCAAGATAAACGATTCAAGATTTGGCTGGGTGTGGTGACTCACACCTGTAATCCCCAGCACTTTGGGAGGCTGAGGCGGGCAGATCACTTGAGGTCAGTAGTTTGAGATCAGCCTGGCCAACATGGTGAAACCCCGCCTACACTAAAAAAAAAAAAAAAAAAAAAATAGCTGGGTGTGGTGGCACGAGTCTGTAATCCTAGCTACTAAGGAGGCTGAGGCGGGAGAACTGCTTGAACCCGGGAGGCAGAGGTTGCAGTGAGCCTAGATCGCGCCACAGCATTCCAGCCGGGGCAACAAGAGCGAAACTCCATCTTTTTTTTTTTTTTTAAAAAAAAGAAGGTTCGAGATTTGGTAGAATTTTAAGTGATGATGTATGGTCACTAAGAAGAGATCAATTTAACAATTCCTTCTGCGAAAAGTTACTTTTAAGTATGTTCGTTATGTGGTCTAGAAAGAATACCTAAGTATGTATCTCTCAAGAGAGACAGACATTTATGTGTTACGCATACTTACGCAACTCAAGTTTGTTTCTAGAATGGAAGGCAGGGCAGCAGAGTTAAAGAGCACAGACAGGCCGCTTCCTTCACTTATAAGCTGAGTGACTGCCATGTGACTGGCAGCTTTCTCATTTCTAAAATGGAGATGGGAGGATAAGAATGGCTACAGGATTGTTATGATAATTAAATAGTAATGTGTGTAAAGTACCTCAATGTAATGCTTGACAAATAGTAGCCACCCACTCAAAAAATAGTAGCTATTACTTCACTATTTCCTTTATTCTAAGATACCATTGACTTAAGATGTTTAATACATTGATAAGTTTTATGTGTGAAATACTTTATCAAATGCACAAATTAATTATAATGTGAATTCCAATTTTACAAAATAATAAAATGTGAAAAAATTTTTCTTAATCTTAAGGAAGCATGGCATTGGTATACCCATTTGTGGGAGATAAGGTATGAGCTTGCTGTAAGTATCTAAGTGCATGAGTAGTTGATGCTTGAATAAAATGCTTTTCCACTCTCTACGTCTCTGTAAAGTTCTTACTTTTAAACAGTGTTCTTTTAATTCTGGTTCTATTTAGTTGAAAAATCCTTGAGGGTGTAAAGTAGTAGTGGTAGATTGGTAAGAATGTGGGATTTGGCATTAAAAATCCTGAGCTGTACCGTTTAATCTGTTGAGTAACCTGGAGTTAGCGTTCCTATCTGTAAAATGGAGGATAATTATATCAGAGTCAAAAAGTTACTGTATGGCTAAAATGTGATTGTTCTTTAAGAATGTACTTTTGTACTTTCCTAAACACATAAAACATCATTTATTCTACTATTCATCTCACAGGCTTTTACTGAGCATCTATTTTATACACACATACGGATAGTCAATTATTCAGGGTAGTTTGTTGTTATAAAGTTGCTGCAAACACTCAATTAGTGAATACTGAACCATTAGGGAAATACAGAGTTAGGTTCCCTGCCAGCCTGTGGTCACAACCTTTTTGATGACTGATCAATATGTAGCTTTTAAAAACTGTGTTTCTTTTTAAAGATATCTTAATATATACTGATTCATTAATATAGACCTCACCATGAACAGTGCTATAACTCATGCCTAAACAAACCTTACCTAATACATTTATTTTCTTCATAAGGCACATTACAGCCTTCTTGCACTTAGAACACTAGACAGCACTACATCACTGTGCTTGGGGATGATTTTACACAGCAAAATTTTACACAGTAAAATCACCCACAAAAAGTACAAAAATGTTAAAAATGTGGCACTAAACTGACGAGGAAAAGACACCTATTTACAGTATGAAAGCTAAAATAAGAAGCCAGAGTTCACCTTGTTCAACCTAAGCTGAGCAAGTGCACATAAGCTGACTCAAACTTTTTGTTGTTCTGTGCTCCCTGCGTATGTCTGTGACTAAGGAAGTGCTATGAGTATTGATTTTGGGGTTACAAATAAAGTTTAGTGAGGAGGGAAATTCAAAAATGCAAAATCTGTGAATAATGAAGATCTACTATATACAAACATACACAAAACACTATATTAATTCCAACAGAAGTCAAAGATAAAGGACATAATCCTTGATCTCAAGAAATTTTCTATCTAGAAAAGAGAATTATGAAAAAAATCGGACAATAATTTAAGGCAAAATGCTCTAGAGTACAAAAAGGAATTATTCCAGAATATAGACAAGGTTTGGAATTACAGTACTCTTAGAAGAAGTGGAATTTGAAATTATTCTTATTAGCCAGGCGAGGTGGCAAGTGCTTGTAGTCCCAGACACTCAGGAGGCTGAGGCAGGAGGATCACTTGGGCCTGGGAAATAGAAACTGCAGTGAACTATGATTGTCCCGCTGCCTCCAGCTTGGGCCACAGAGTGAGACCCTGCCTCAAAAACAAAACAAACAGAAAACATAAATGATTCTTTAAGAACAGGCAAATGTTAAGATAATACTAATGCTACTAACAATAAATACAATGAGGTCAATGACAAACATACAACAAAAACAAGTACAACACTGAGGTGAGAGCTTTACATGTCTGCTTTATTTAATCCCCTAAGCCACTGTATGAGGAAATTACTATCGTTAATCACATTTTTCAGATGAGACTGATGCTCAAAGTGATTCATGTGACTTGTTCAAGGTATCAACCCTAGCCCATGAAGGAGCCTGGATTTGAATCCAGGTCTGTTTAACTACAGTGCACACATGTTCTTTGCTACAAGGCTAGGCTGCTGAAGACTGGTGAGTGGTCTAGTGTGCTACAGTCTGGAGTGGGGAAGGATCAGAAAAGGTAAGAGAACGAGGAAGATTTACCAGGACCTAGTAAAAATATTTGATATTTTGAGAGTGACTTGAAAGATCTTGCGAATTTCAGGTATGACTTATGGACTATGGAAGGGCTAAGACTACCTGAGCCTGGTCTGAAGGTACTAGGGGCAGTAAAGCATGGTAAGCAGGTGTGCAGCCTCTATAGCCAGACTGCTTGGATGGGGCCCAGCTCCACCTTCAGGAGCTGTAAGATCTTGGGCAAACTGCTTACCTTTCTGTGTTTCAGGTTCTTATCACTAAGAAGGGGCTAGTAAGAGTATCTACTCGATAGGACTATTGGGAGAACGGCAGGAGTTAGTAAATATAAAGCACCTAGAACTGTTTTGGCACAAAGCAGGCACTCAACAAACACTGGCTATTATAGGTTAAAGTCAAATTAAAAACTCACTTCTAACACAAAATTTTTGTTATTTGCTGTCTGTATAACTGTGCTCAATTATGACAATAAATCTTTTTTTGGGTGAAAGAACAGATAGGGTAGAAAAATTAAGTGAGTTTGGGAGTAGCTGAATCTAAAAATGGCACATGGGGAATTTTTCCTTTAGGAATTTTCAGAACTATAAACGACACCATGCACTGTGAATTTCCAAGGGGGAAATACTTTAAGTGGCATAGAACATTGTCGTATTTGAACCAGATTGAGTTCAAATCTGTCACTGTGTGACCTTGTGCAAAATGCTTTACCTTTTGGTGCTTCGGTTTTCTCATCTACAAAATAGAATACTAGTACTGTCCCTGTAGTGTTTTGTGGGGATTAAATGAGAATACATGTCAAGTACTTACTACAGTTCCTGGTAAATAGAAAGCATTCAACAAATGTTGGTTGTTAAATCTATTTCATTTTTTTGAGACAGAGTCTCATTCTGTTGCCCAGGCTGAAGTGCTCACTGCACCCTTGACCTCCCTGGCATGAGCAATCCTCCTACCTGAGCCTCCAGAGTAGCTGAGACTACAGTCAAGCACCACCACACCTGGCTAATGTTTGCATTTTTAGTAGAGATGAGGTTTCACCATGTTGCCCAGGCTGGTCTCCAACTACTGAGCTCAAGTGATCCACTTGTCTCGGACTCCCAAAGTGTTGGGATTACTGGTGTGAGCCACTGCTCCCGGCCACATTTAGCTACTCTTTAACCTCTTTTTTCTTAGGGCAGAGACTGAGATGTCCTCAGTCCCAATTATTTGATCCTGTGACATCCTAAATCCTTGGTCCTGTTATTAGTATGCATTGAAATCCTAGCTCCTATTGAGGCTTATTGGATTTGGGAGCTTAGTTTTTGGAGGTCTCTTGACTTTTATATATTTTACTATTAAATTCTAGCCGTTTGTTTTGTGTTCTCCTGATTTTATGGTTTTTTTGTGGTTTATATCTCTTGGGATTTTCATAAGCATTCTATGAGATAGGTAATCAAGAATTCATCTCTCTCTTCTCTAGCTGCCTTATTTTCATCAAGGCCTAAGCATAGGAGGCCAACAATTCTGGGCTTGCAGAGCACTGAAACGATTGTAGAGCACTGAAAACGAATGGCAGAGCACTGAAAGTGATTGGGCTTGTTACCACTGCAATGATAGTATCAACAATGACCAGTAGCTAAAATTGACTGAGTACTTACTATGTGCTTTTTAAAGGATTTTACACATGTTAGCACATTTAATCTTATATATCCATTTTATAAGATGAGGTGAAGACAGTGAGAGAAAGTTTAAGTAACTTGTCAGAGATCACATAGCTAGTAAGTGGTGAAACTGGGATCTGACTCCAGGCAGTTAAATGAAGAATCCACACTCTTAACCACTTCTCTGTATTCCAGGTGTCTGAGTTTAGCAGTGATAGGATGAAACTGATATTCTAAGACTCTTAGTCCAGTAGGCAAGAAGAATCAAAGAGTAAAGAACCACAGACTTTAGAAACAAGCTAAGGCTTGGCAAGTTAGGCGTGAGAACAGAAAGTGGGAGAATGCACCTTAATGAAGAGAAGAATGCTAGAGTTAGTGAAAATGAAGGAAAAATTAAAAGACCTGGAATAGTTTGTGTATAGGGAAAGAAGGAATTAAAGGTGATTTTAGGATTCTGAGTTTATGTGATTTAGAACAGGGACTTTCAAACATTCTGAAGTCATGGAAACATCATAAAAGAAAGGAGATGGGGTAAGGTGAAATTTTAATGATAAGTAGGAGAAAAACAGAAATTAAGTTAAAGCATATGGAAGAAAGAGATAAAAATAACAGCAAGAAATTAAGCATTAAGATGTAAGTTTTGGGATAGAAGTTGTAATAAATGTTCTCATTTGTCATGCAGGTCATAGTTTTTACAAAGCAGTTTATTGTAGTTATATGTGGTGATATTAACATTTTGGTAGAAACTGTGACTGTGTTTTAATTTAAGTAGACTCACTGCTCTTGGGGAGAAATGTAGGCATAAAACAAAATTTAGGAACTGGATTCAGAAATAAACCTATTAATTTAATAAGTTAGAACATTTCACTCATGTACATATGCAGAGTATAATTCTACTGATGAAAAGACTCAATGGGCCTGAAACAAATTTCTATGAAATCCCAGGGTTCAGAGAACACACTTACACACAGTCTGGGGATTATCTCCTCTGTGAAAGCTGTGAGAAGATTTGGTTAATCCTTCTTTATGTCATCATTCTACTTAATAGATTTTTTGATTCTAAAACTTATTTGTGTTGCTGTATTTACATGTTTTTCTTCCTTATACATCAGTATACAACTTAAAAGCAGGGACTTTATTCATTCTTTTATTCCCTATTACAATAAAGGGTACAGTGTAGTGAGAATTAACCCTTGAAGCAATTCACATATGGTGAAAGAAAAGTTGGCAGAGTATAAAGAAAAAGGGAACATATATGCAAAGTTGCTCAAAAGGACTCAGATAATGTGGCTTTAAAAATCAAACTAGCATTTCAAGAAGGAGGTGATCAGCAGTGTAAAACACTGGCTGGAGAATAAGAATGAAGGAAAAGGCCATGGGATGTGTTGAAAATATCCCTGGTACCTTCTGAGAGAACAGTGGAGACTGACTGAGATTACGATGTTAGACCAAAGGATGGGAAAAGAAGAAATGAAGTTAAAAGGTACAAGTGATGGATTCAAACATTTAGAAATAAAAGGTGTGATGAAGATAGTTTAAAATTTAAAGGGGAGGTGGAAAAAGGGAATTTTTAAGAGTAAGATCTATGGAGCTGGGAGGCATGAGTTCAAATGCCAATTCTTCCACTTACTAGCTGTGTGACCTTGCATAATTTATTTAATTTCTCTGAACCTTGGTTTCCTTATCTGTAAAATGGGGATAATCACAGTGCCTATCTCATGTTACCATGAGGACTAAATAAGCTAACATAATGAAATGCTGACTATGGACCTGTCATATTTAAGCACTACGTGCTTGTTATGATTAGTGAAACATATCTTCTCATGCAAACTTGAGGACGGAACAGAGTCGACAGAGAACAAGCATGAAGACGGCCAGTGCGGTGGCTCACAACTGTAGTCCCAGCAATTTGGGAAGCCGAGGAGGGCAGATCGCTTGAGACAAGGAGTTTGAAACCAGCTTGGGTAACATGGTGAAACTCTGTCTCTACAAAAAATACAAAAATTAGCCGGGTGTAGTGGTGCATGCCTGTAGTCCCAGCACCTTGGGAGGATGAGACAGGAGGATCACTTGAGTCCGGAACATGAAGGTTGCAGTGAATGACGAATGCTAGAGTTACTGGAAATGAAATATCAAGCATGATCCCAAGTTGGCCATGCTTGGTAACTACCAGATTAAAGGTCAGTTGGTTGTGCCACTGCACTCCAGCCTGGGTGACAGCCAGGCTCTGTCTCCCAAAAAAAAAAAGAAGTATGAAGACATTAGAGGACTGTGGGAGTCTAAGGAACTGCCATGAACTTTAGAGAACAGATGAAGAATTAACTTTAAGATGACTGTAGTAACTTCTCAGATTCTAGGGAAACATACAATAACTACAGTGATGATGAAGAGAAGACACTGGCAAATGAGAGAATTCTTGTCTAATGGCTCCTATCTTCCCAGTGAATCAGCATTAAGGGTAGTTGATAATAAGAACTTGTAGTGTATTTTTAGTGTTTTAGAAAGCTCTATCTTGAATAGGAATTGAACACTACTGTAGCTAAGACAAATTTGCCTTCATCCACTAATGTTTGTTCACACTAGGGCTCACCAGGGTGGATGACGTAACTTAAAAAAAAAAAAACAAAAAACAACTGCCTACTGGGCCAGGTATGGTGGCTCATGCCTATAGTCCCAGCATATTGTGAGGCTGATGTGAGTGGATCATCTGAGCTCAGGAGTTTGAGAGCACCCTGGGTAACATGGCAAAACCCCAGCCCTACCAAAAATACAAAAAAATTAGCCAGGTGTGGTGGTACGTGCCTACAGTCCCAGCCATTCAGGAGGCTGAGGTGAGAGGATTGCTTGAGCCTGGGAGGCAGAGGCTGCAATGAGCCAAGATCACACCACTGCACTCCAACCTGGGTGACAGAGAGAGACCCTGTTTAAAAAAACAAAAGCAAAAACAAAAGAAAAACCAAAACAAAAAAAATCCCTGCCTACTGCTACTAGATTGTTGGAACACCAGATTTTACACTGACATCCACTAAAGATCAGGAAAAGTGTAGTTTGAATAAATGCCAATTATGGATGATGGCTGCCAAATAAAAATCTTAACAATTATAGAGAAACTTCTACAGTACAGGTTTCTAGACTGACCCAAATACGTTTTTGCTGATTAGTACAATCCAAACGCATTTGTGCTGATTAGTACCTCTGAGATGGGAAAAATCATTGCTCTTTCTCCTCGATGTATGTGATGTCTTATATCTCCATATGTCTTTGCAATTTGATAAGAGAGTTAAATTATAAACAATAACCTTAAAAGTCTCCTCAGGATGCCAGCATACACTCATGCCAGGAGAATGCAGAACAAAATGAGCTGTTTGCATGCCTTCCAAGTTCCAAATCCTAATAGAAGAATAACAGTATAATGTTAATTGTTCTTGATATATCATTACTAAAAAATTAAATTTCCATGAATTTATTCAAAGCTATTAACTACAGATTATAAGGCAGACATTTGTATTTAATGTATATCTTTTAAAGAAAATTATAACACCACTTTTAAATAATATGAAAGTAGTATGAAGAATTTAAATTTTACCATACTCAATCATACACAAAAGAGTCACACACATTTTCCCTCTAATTAATCTATCACAGCAACACTGTTACATGGTAATCAAATTAAATTATTTATATACTCTTTATTTTGTGGACAAAATCTTGAGGTTTCTAGGTCACTAATCAGGTTGTCTGACTACTTCAGTAGTCATTTCAATTGACAATAATTACCACTGAGGTGCTTACACACACACACATGCACGCTGAGTATTTTTATTTTCAAAACAACATACAAAGAAGCTAATATGAAGTTATGTAAATGTAGCAACATGGCCATCTTCCATATTGTTTATTCCTTCTACCTTTAGGATTCCAATCCAGTGGCTACTTCCTATTTATACCTTTTGTAATTTGGCTTATTTTTTCAGTTTTCTCTCCCCAAGCTGGCCATGGTTGATGATTAAAGCTGGGGTGAAAGAAGAGGCATTTGGTTCTTGCTGTTCTCTCTTTCCTCAATAGTAACAAATCCACAGTAATAAGGACCAGGTTACCCACCAACATGGCTCTCCACTTCAATTGCTTTACCATCGCAGAGGGAGATCAAGACTCAGAAACCTCAGTCATGGCACTATGTTGTGAGAATGCTATCCCTCACCCACTGCTCATTCTCCATATTCAGCCACTGTTACCTTGCACTGGCACAGAGTGTGGCACAGAGTACAGCAGGTGACAGAAGTCAGTGGGAGGCTGGCAAAGTGCACATATAATTCTGATCCTTAAGAACTGAACTTGACTGAGTGACATGGCTCATGCCTGTAATCCCAGCACTTTGGGAGGCTGAGACAGAAGGATCACTTGAGCCCAGGAGTTCAAGACCAGCCTGGCAAATACAGTGAAACTTCGTCTCTACAAAACATACAAGAATTGGCCAGGAGCAGTGGTGCACACCTGTAGCCCCAGCTATTACTAGGGAGGCTGAAATGGCAGGCTGACATGGGAGGACTGCTTGAGCACAGGAGGTGGAGGCTGCAGTGTGCCACGTTTGCACCTCTGCACTCCAGCCTGGGTGACAGGGACCCTGTCTCAAAACAACAACAGCAGCAACAGCAAAAAACCAACAATAAAAAAATAACTTAACTCATTCATTGGAATTTTTCTTCTAGGTTTTATAGTTCATATCTCATTAGAGACCAATGAAACAGATTTAGCCAATTTCAGGAATTTATTTTCAATGTGTAGGCAAAAATTTATTTCACAGAAAGCAGAATATATATTGGATAATGCTACTATTCTGTGCCAAAACACATTACTTCAAATATTCTTCTTCCTTGTAGAAATTATTGGGTCTCTGAATATTAAAATATCACAGTTACATATAAATGAACATAGATGTTTTTCAAAATGATTATCTTAATGATTAAACAATTTAGAGCATACTGTTCTCTTGCCAAATCAATACTTTTCATCTGTATTTATTATACAAGGGAAACAACTACAATTTAATTGAAGAGAGAAATCACATTTAGCAAGGCTTTATGCATCTGTATTTCACTCCCCACGACGAATTAGATTATTAATTATGGCAACTGATTAAGTATTTCTTCTCTATTGCCTTCTGCAAAATAAAGTGTTGCGCTAGCATATATTTTACCACTATTGAAATAGTAGGAATTTGTCTTGAAAATTCAGCAAGTTACATAAGAGGATGGTTTAAAACCTCCATTCTTTTGATCTTATTCTAATATGTATTTGTTTTGTTGGCTATTATATAAATTGAGTAAATACATTCCAAAATATTTCCATGATTTTTTCTTCCAAATGAAGGAAACAAAAGAGGTAGAAAATATGGATAAAAATATTAAATAAAAACTGGTCAGTTAATGAAGTGTATTCCTGTCCAATAAACCAAAGTTTTACCCAATTTTTTTTTTTTTTTTTGAGACAGAGTCTGGCTCTGTCGCCCAGGCTGGAGTGCAGTGGCATGATCTCAGCTCACTGCAAGCTCCACCTCCTGGGTTCATGCCATTTTCCTGCCTCAGCCTCCCGAGTAGCTGGGACTACAGGTGCCCACCACCACGCCTGGCTAAATTTTTTGTATTTTTAGTAGAGACGGAGTTTCACCGTGTTAGCCAGGATGGTCTCGATCTCCTGACCCTGTGATCCACCCACCTCAGCCTCCCAAAGTGCTGGGATTACAGGTGTGAGCCACCGCGCCCGTCCTAATTTTTAACCAGTATTTTACCCTGAACAGAGCCTGACATTTAAGAAAACAAACAAACAAAAACCTGACTTAAAAATGAGATTAGTTTTCAAGGGATTGGGATAAAATGATTCATGGTTTATAATTATATGCTTATTCAATAATTCTTAGTGGTTACACAATCCAAGTACTAAGTATGTAAAATACAACAAACGGGGCTGAATCTAGTTATCCTAACTAAATTAGCTACAGATGGGACAATTTAAGTTGTTAAGTCTTATTTTCCTTTTTGATAGATTCCTTAATTAAGCCCTTCTCAAATCCTTTTGTGGAGTTCAGCTCATTTTTCTGTGTCTTTACTATATAGCTTATCTAGTTAATATTACTTACATGAAATAGTCACTTCTTTGGATAAATTTTTGAAGTATACCACATATAATAAAAGTACACAAATCTTAAATGTACAATTCGAAGAGAAGACACTCAAAAAGAATGGCACCTAAATCAAGAAACAGAGTATTTCCAAGACTCCAAAAGTTGTCTTGTGCTCCCTTTCCAGTCATACCTCTTTGCTCTCTCACAAAAGGTCCCCAGTCTTCTGACTTCAAATGTTATTGCTTACTTTTGCCTATTTTTGAACATCATAAAAATGATGTCCATTTTCATATGCTACATGTTTTCTTGGTCTGACTTCTTTTACTCATCGTTAGGTTTTGTGAGATTTACCACCATTTGTTGCATGTTGTTGTAATTTGTCTTTTCTTAATGCCTTATACAGTCTTCAATTAATTCAGTACACAACAACATATATATTCATTCTACTCCTGACAGACATTTAGGTTGTTTCCAATTTTTGGTCATCACCAAGAATGCTGCTATAAGCCTTCTTGCACATGTCTTTTAATGAATATAGATACCCACATACGATCACATACACACACACACACTTGCTGGGTACATACCTAGGCATGGAATTGCTGGATCACAGCTTACAAATATATTCAACTTTAGCAGGTAGTTATCATCAAATAGCTTTCCAAGTTGGCTGCACCTCATATTTCCTTTTTCCCTCTCATATTTAATTACCAGTGGAAAAAGTCAAAACTTTCATTCTCTGACAAAAACAGTCTTAAACAATTATTTATATGAATGGCAACAGGTACAGCTTTTCAGGTGGTCTTATTTTGTAAGGTAGATTTCTCAACTCATCTTTTTTTTTGCATTTTACTTTCATGTATGTATGTATGGACAAATGTGCCTAAGTTTTAAAATGTGGTAAACACAGTCTACAGTAGAATCTCTCTGAACTGACTCTGACAGATTTTTTTTTCCCTCTATAGAAGTGACAAGAATGAGAACGCTATTTTTAATATGCCCACATGTGCATTTGTTATATGTGTATGAAGAGGGAATATAGCTTCTTTGCTTAGCAAACCACTGGTTGTATGTGATGTAAACCCATGCTTATTAATGTAATTACATAATATTATATAAACTGACAATATGAATGTGAAAGCTATTTCAATGAAACCAAGTCAGTACCAACTAACTAAAGGTAAGTTTCTAAAAGAGAAAAAAAAAAACTCACTCAAATTAGGTATGTGTGACCGTTTTAAAGATTAAATAATAAAAATAAAAATCTAGATGTATTCTGAATTAAGATTGCTTTTCTAAGTGTTATTTTCATTGAAGACATTGTATTTTGGTTGTGGTTCATGTCAAAAAAGTGGTCCCAAGGCAATCAATGGACTCATAACCTAAGAAAAAAAGCACTGGCCTAATGACTGGCGAATGGTTTTTAATACACATGGGTCGTATATTAAAATAAGGCAGGTAGGCATTCTTTTAAAATTATTTCCTGAGTTTACTGACTTTTTGTTGTCTAAGAAACTTTTGGTCTAGACCACGACAGACAACAGGATTTTTACTATAAAAGAAAAAATTCAAAATCTAAAAATTCAGGTTTTAATATTTCCAAAATTATTACTATTGCAAAGTCAGTTATAACCACAGAAGCACACTTTTCAGGAAAGTGGTGCATCACAGAAAGAGAAATGCTTTAAAAGCTCACAGCCGGCCGGGCGCTGTGGCTCACACCTGTAATTCCAGCACTTTGGGAGGCTGAGGCAGGCAGATCACCTGAGGTCAGGAGTTCGAGACCAACCTGACCAATATGGTGAAACCCTGTCTCTACTAAAAATACAAAAATTAGCTGGGCATGCTGGCGGGCGCCTGTAATCCCAACTACTCGGGCAGCTGAGGCAGGAGAATTGCTTGAATCTGGGAGGCGGAGGTTGCAGTAAGCTGAGATTTCGCCACTGTACTCTAGCCCAGGAAACAGAGTGCGACTGTCTCAAAAAAAACCCAAAAACCAAAAAAAACCCCACAGCCTTCATAATACACATAATCAAACATATGAAAAGATGACAGACCACTTATCAAAGCATAAAAGTACATAATAAATGTTATCAGGCTTAATTACCTTAGACAAAACCTAGGATTTATATTAATATACATATGCACATATTTAAATGTTTGCAAGGGAAATTTAAAAGGAAAAGCTTTTATGGCAAAGTTATGTGCTGACATATTAAGATGCCAATACAGACCAAATCAAATGGGAACTAGGTAAATAAAGCATCAC